TAGACCGAACTCCTTTTAACAAGTTTAATGGGGAGTGCAACATTTATGTGTCTGATGGGAAAATATCTCAACAGGAAGTGTGGGTGAACAGCACAGTAACACAGTCGACAGTGGAAGGATTCAACAATCACTGTTAGTGATGCAGAAAACCATCTCAGCACTGATCTCTAAGATGAATGGTAGGTGTCTGATAATTTCCTAACTTTAAACTGTGCTCATTGTTAACCATCAGTACGGAGCCCTTCATTTTTTTGCGCACAAGTTATTATCTTATGGGTGGTCCAGCACCTGCAGCCTCACCTGATATGCATCTGGAGACGACGCTGGTTTAGGTTTCTCACGTTTCTAAGCACCAGATCTTTTACGTCTTCATGAATCAGTACTTTTGAATCTGACCTGTGTGATAAAGTTCATTTTATAGCAGGAAGGCCACACCATTAATACCCTTTTGTTATAACGATATGGCACAGATGTATTAGCACAAAAGAGTTGTTCTGTTCATTTGGCTCACAGCATTTGTTTCGTTTGAACACCAGGTAAATCCTTATATGTACTGGTTCCCCTACCCAGTGTCCTCCCCAGGTCTTCTTTCTGAATGGTTCGAATCGAGTTACCGCGTTGTCTGCGTTCGATGTGTTGAAAGGGTGAATGTGGCACGTAGTGTAAAAGCGGCCTTTGAGTGGTCAGAAGGAGCCTTAGAAAGGGCGCCTATAGCAAGTCACAGGTCCAACAACCAATCTTAAGCCATTGAACGGTGGTCCTTTACAAATGGACTTCTTGACCACACTTGCTCGCGTTTCACGCAATCAATCTTCCAATAGTCTCTTCACTGACTTCCTTGAGGAATATTTTTTATCTGAATACTCATTCTCACGCGCCACTTGTTCACCTGCTGGACATATACAAAAATGGCAACCTCCCCCACAGATTAAATCGCGCAAACCTTGTGCCTCTTAATAGCCCCTATGCATAGAAGGCAAAACGCAAATAATGTATGTTAAATATATCATTGTATCCAAGTTTTAATTGAACTGTATAGCAAGGTTCTATTTTTATTATCAAGACATTCAAATGTTCCACAAGGTTCTATGGGTCACATGCAAATAAATGGGTGCAACTTTTTTTTTAAAGTTTCATGTAGCATTGGGACTTAGTGGGTCCAATTTGTACAGAAGATTTTACTTTTGTGTGTGCGAGAATTAAAGTGTTGCCACATGCTATTTATTAGAGCGAGA